TACTTTTGAGTTATTTGTTATTGATAAACTGGTATTTACAAAGAAAATGCTTGTTAGAAAGTGCTAGTTATTATCCAGCTCTGTTTTATTGAAGAACAACATTCATGCTGCAGTGACAGCTGATGGAACCATCCTTGCTACTGGAAGTTATGACACTACAGTGATGGTATGGGAAGTTCCTCGCATTAGAGAGAAGAGAGTTAGAAACTCCCAAACAGAACTTCCTCGTAAAGAAAACATTGTCGTTGAAACTCCCTTCCATATCCTCTGTGGGCATGATGATATAATTACCTGTTTATATGTTAGTGTGGAGCTTGATATAGTTATCAGTGGGTCAAAAGATGGAACTTGCACATTCCATACTCTGAGGGAAGGGAGATATATAAGATCTTTGCAGCACCCTTCAGGTAGTGCGTTGTCAAAACTTGTTGCCTCCCGGCATGGACGGATAGTTATTTATGCTGATGATGATCTCAGCCTGCACCTCTATTCTATTAATGGAAAACATCTTGCTACTTCGGAATCAAATGGCCGTCTTAATTGTCTTGAACTAAGTTGTTGCGGTGAGTTTTTGGTTTGTGCTGGTGACCATGGACAAGTTGTTGTTCGCTCAATGAACACTCTTGAGGTTGTGAGGAGATACAATGGAGTGGGAAAAATAATAACATCCTTAACAGTGACCCCAGAGGAATGCTTTTTAGCTGGGACCAAAGATGGAGGCCTTCTTGTATATTCTATAGAAAATCCTCAGCTTCGGAGACCTACCCTTCCTCGAAACGTGAAATCCAAAACTGCTGTAACAGGTTAGATCAGTAGCTGAAGGTCGCATGCACACGGAATTTGTAAAAGCAGTGGTAATTGATATCACAATCCAGGTATTCTGCTTCCAGTCAATGTTTAACTGCATTACTTTGTCCATTACTATGGTTTTGTTTGACTATCTCTAGTTATTAGTTTACAGCATCTTGTGGGATAAAAACTTACAAGAGATTTTGTTTACCTGAGTGTTATTATCCTGAGAGAGTTGTTACCAATGCAATGAGGTTAATATATTTTGAAATCAACGACAGAGATATTCATGCTTTTGGCAAAGATCACCTAACCACATATGTGTAAACTTGTTTCCTCTAGAAAATTCAGACTTGTGTTGTCGTATGCGTGTTTAAACTTGTCTTGGTGTACATAGTTTTTAACCCTTCTTTACTCATTTAACAAGTGTCTATAATTTGGTAATAACCTCCTGTGTATTCTCAAACAGGAGCTATTTTTAAGAGTAAATATACATAAAAGAAATTAGCAAGTCAACGATGCATTTGTCTTTTCTTTTTGTGCTTTCTAAGATTACCATGAGAAGTATGGACCTTTTGTGAAAGTTTATTGTTTTTCCCACTTTTTACCCAAAAGAAATGCATATCCCAATGTCTGTAATCATTGAAGTTTCTTACCACAAACACCTTTCTGATCTTTCTGGTTTCTGCTCTGACAGGAGTTGACTGCTGATGGCAGGTCGTTTATTAGTGATTGGATTTTCAGTTTTGGAACCAGGGACTTCTTTTTGGTGTTGGAAAATACTCTTATTCACATATTTTTTGAGATAATCACTCAATCATCAAGCATCACTTCTTGGACAGATTAGAAAAGGATGTAAACTACCTCCGCATATTTCGGTCTAACACAGATCTTAAATAAATGCTCGGAGATGCAAGTTTTATGTAACAATATTATGAGAAATGAGGGAAACTTCTAACAATTGTTCATGTCCATCGTGAGAAGGTGAGAATGAAGAATTAGGTCTCAGAATATGAATGTAAATTATATCCTTATGGATTTATATTAGGAATGTTGTGTATTTAATTATAATAGCATCATGTCAGTTTGCAACTTCTTTTGTTCTAGGCGGGGATGTTTTATGCATTTTAAAGCTTTTCAGGCATCCCCTCAAACTCTGTATAGAAAAGGATTTATTGTCTTTCCATGAGTAAATGGGAATTCACTCCCTTTGCAAACATGATCTAAATTTTGGAAGATGTTTTCTGATTGGTAAGAGTTATGTCTGTTCCCTGTTAATTATTACCGAGAATAAATTATTTTGAGAAACAGAGATATACTAAAGTAACCAAGTTATTTATAATTTTGTTATTGAAGAGGACCATATTAGGTTATACCCATAAACAAATTTATACACATTATACAAGGTAATTCCTTAATTATAGAATGAATTGCTCGGCTATAACCCCGTTGTTCTACCTTCATATTCACACAAATTATTAATATGGTAAAATTAAGCTGTCATTTGTGAATAAATATTATGATAAAATTATTGATCTACTTTTGCTTTTAGGACTTACTAGTATGGTAAATATATTTACACTATGTAATTCCTTTTTGTAAAATAGAAGCACAATTTCAAGATTAAAAAATGTGGAGCCTAGAAGCTTTTTGCCCTGGTAGTTACATGCTAAGGCAATTAATTCATCGTTTGTACACTAATTGATGTTAAGTTTCGTGAATGACTACGCTTCCCTTTCCTGGTTAGTAGCGTATTGCCTTATGACGAACGACGTAAATATAGTTTTCAAGAAAAAGTGCAGCATTAATTGCTACCAAAGGAGCATAGTTCTTATATAAAAAACTTTACAAATTATGTTAAAATATTAATCAGGTTCCTTAAGTCCCCGCGAGGGCAAGCATAAAAACCCTTTATAAGAAAACCTCGGTTTTTTATTTTCTTTGATTTCAACATGCTGTCTCAATAATTTTTATTTTATAAAATTATTTGAATCTAGTATTTTATTGAGATTCTCACTACGAATTTGCTTTGGTTCGAATGTATTAAAACCTACTTATAATATATTATATTGTTAATGTCAAAAAAATAAGAACATGGAACATAGTATTTTATGTAGTATTTTATCAAGTAAAAATGTTAGATCGAGTTTTTATTCTATTATGATTAACGTAACTGAGAAAATATAATCACCAAAAATATATTCACTTTGTTCGAATATATCATGACTCCGTTATGACTGCATTTAATATGGTCATTGTAACTCTATTAGCACAATAATAAATTAAACTTTTAATTTAGTTAAACCAAATATTATACATTGGTTATTGTTATTTTGTAATTCATGCATAAAGTAATAAATTTTATAATTCTTAATAAAATTTAAATTCATTACCTTAAAATACTACACATGAATCTTTATTACTGAACAATTGTATTTGTGATAATATAAGACATAATTTTGTTGCTTAATATAAAGAGCATATATAATTTTAATCAATTAAACTATTTTAGATTTGGAATGTAACGATCCCGGAAATCCAAAAAGAAATATATAATAATTTAAGTGCGGAAGCGAAATAAAATATTAAGGTTTATATTCCTTACACAATAATTTAAAAGTACTAAACAAACATCACGGAATGAATTCTCTGAAAGAAATGCGAAAAATGAGAAAAATAAAGGAAAATATAAAGTATCTAGCATCTACTCGCAATTTTCTTGCAGATCGGGCTCGGAAACCAGGTCCTTTTGATCTGAAATGGATAAATAAAGGATAAGTTACACTAGTCCAGTAAGGACATCACACTATATCACCGGCACAGAAGTAAATGTTGGTAGAAAATCAAAACAACTAATGGAGCACTAAATTTAAACCAATACATTTATTAAAAATAAAACCATTTACCATTCACTTGCTATTTGGGAATTTATGAAAACAAATTATAGAAGCAATAATATTATACAGA